GCTTAATTCTGTGTGGCTTCTTCTTCTTTTGTTTGGTGATAGTTGGTGTTCGAACCCCGTTCGAACTCTGGGGGGAGTCTAGAACCCTACATAACCCGAGCTGCCTTCCCAAGGCTCCTGGCGGCTTCTCCGTGCAGCTCGTAGGAAACACTGCGGCCCGAAGGCGAAGTGCAGATCTCTGGGCACTCCTCTTGGGAGGTCCTGAGACTGAGAGTCGGCCACGTTCGCTCCAAAGTGGGCGTGGGGCCCGACACTGCCTCGATTGGCCGAGAGTTCGTCAAGCAGTTGTGCGTTGAAGTCGCCCACCACTATAAGGGGTTCGCTGGCGGGGTGGCTGTGAAGGATGTCCCCGAGTGACTGGCAGAAGGCATCGCGAACCGGCTGCGTACACCACCTGAACTGTGAGTGGAGCTTCGGCTGTGTCGATCTTGAAAGAAAGGAAGCGACCGTCGGTGGCCACGATGTCCAGAATGCAAGGTGTGAGCCGCGGGGAGGTAATCAATGTTCGACTCTGGCTTCGGAAACTCCGTGTTCAAACCTTGGTTAAATTTTCGTCTTCAGAGTTCAACAGTTCAACTCCGTTCGAATCCAGGGTTCGGAGGGAACTTCGATGTTCAAACTCTGGGTTCGAGGCTCGGAACTCATACTTTAGATTGTATGAAGCAGAATGCAACCAACGGAAGACACACAATAGTTTTTTTTGGCGTATGCGGCCTCGTCGTGTAGCATGGTCCCTGTAAGAAAGAGAGCAACTAACAAGAAATGAATAAAACGGAAGATACACAATGGACGATGAAGGGGGCCGCTTTAACTCAACTCTGCTACGCAGGTGTACAGTAACTCTGAAAGGTTGGCTGCGTGGTGTGTGAAGTGCCAGGGCGCGCAGCTCCAGGTCCGGAGTCAGGTCGACAGAGGCCGCCACAGCTCTGCCGTGCGGCCCATATTTCACCTGTTTCCAACCAACAGGATGCGTCGCCTTGATAGCCAATATCACGCCGCTGGATCGCGGACCAAGACCGAGCGGCTCCAGTGGTCGGATCCTAGGGTCCCGGGTGCCTTGGTCACAATTGTGACTCAAAGCGTAGTATCCACCGTCTCGCATGCCGTGGTGCGCCCCCTCCGTAAGGATTCTGGTCTCGGACAGCACTCCAATGTCAGCACCAGGTCATCCAGGGTGCTGGCCCAGAAGCGTCCCCAGACATACCGATCGCTTCCCGCGCCAGCTGTCTGCAGTGCAACGATTCTCAAACCAGATTCGGGACGCCACGAGACATCATCTCCCAGACAGCGACCGCAGAACTGCGGTAGGTGAACTCTACGCCCGATGGGCCAGAACTCTCGCTCGAGAGGCCCAAGCGGATCAGCGCCAGGATGCTCGCCTAAGCTGCCCTCCTCTTCGTCCGAAGACATATACTTCCAGCAGTTCTCAAATGGCGTCCATAGGCCGCGGGGGAAGGGAACAGAGGGGGAAGAAGGGGGAGCAAATTGCTTACGTACGGCACACGGGGCCCGAAAAGTGGGAGCTGTTTGCTTACTTTCGGCACACGGGGCACGAAAAGTGGGAGCTGTTTGCTTACTTTCGGCACAGGGCCCGAAAAGTGGGAGCTGTTTGCTTACTTTCGGCAACCTGGGCCACTACAAGGCAGGAGAATCTCGATCAAGAAGCTACCAAGCCAGAAACCAGGGACACAAGAGTAATTTCTTCGCTACCAAGATCAGAGACAGAACTGAATGAGCCAACTAGTGGCGCCGATCCGGCAAAGGAAGCAAGCTTGCCCACCATACCCGCATTCTGTGTCAGTGTCACGTGCATCCATCAACACACCCTCACGTCAAGCAATGCGATCTTCTGCTGAGGAAATATGAGCCAGCAGTCGTTCCGACACACGCCCGTCAGCAACGCTGCCTTTTTCCCAGCACCAACAAAAGCAGCCGTCTCGCGCTGGAGCGCGGAAGCAGTCGTGAAGCCTGGCCGGGTGCAACGTCGCGGAAACAGCTGGTGTCCCCAGGAATATAATCAGGTCTCTAAGATGCTGCTGCACAACAAGCGCCCTCAAACTGATGCATCACTTTTTAGCATGCCACGCAGAAGACTGCAGTCACAAGCAGGACGGCAGCCGCATCGCCGAAATGTTATAAAAGACAAAATTACGGTCCTACATATCCAGGGTGTTTGTGTTACAGCTGGGGCAACGCGCTCGGCCCGGTGTTCCTTCAGAGCACTCGCGCAGCCAGCGGGATGCGCAGCTGCTATGGAAAACATGTAAACAGGGTAACCGTAGCATTGGCTGCCCTTCCGACATGGGGGCATAGCAGATGCTACAGTCTGCCGCGGCTTCTGCAGTCGTGCGCTCATACACAAGACAGATTTCACTGAGGCGGGTATCAAGCAACACTGCTTCGGCAGACGGGGAGGGAGCAAAGTCCGCTACGGGATTGTCTGCAGAAGCACTGTTCTCCGGTGCTCTCGTCGGGGGGGGGAGCAGCCTCCTCCGCTTCGGGATTGTCCGCAGAGGCACTGGTTTCAGGAGCTCCCGCCACAGCTTCCACATCATCCACAACCTCCACCTCCTCCGCTTCCGCTGGCGCTGCGCGCCGGCCAGCTCGCCGAACTCCGCGTCCTCGGCTGCCAGGCCACGCGCAGATCCGCGGCCGCGGCCACGGCCAGCAAAGCGGCCAGCAGGCTCCAAGGCCGCGCGCCTTCTCGCACCCCGTGCCAGCTCTAGCCGCACCAGGCCGGTATAGACGTCTGGAATGTGTGCTACGAAGCTTCTGCATGCACCGTCTTTTGCCCCTCTCCTTGATGGCATCTCTGCGCAATTCCTTCCTGGACCTCGTTGGAATAAAGCAGCCTTTCTGGAGCATGCAGCATTCGCTGCCGGTACAGCGGCTTCCAACATTTGGGCGGAGCTGACTGCTGCGCGTGGTCGCTAGACAGACTGCGCAGAATGTCTTGCATCGTCTAAGTCTCCAGTCGAGAGGCAATCCAGCCAGGAAGAAACCCGCAGGAGGGCCGGCACTGGCAATTGCCGCAGGCAGCGCAGACGCTACCATCGTCCTCTGCATCGAGACATTCAAGGTATGAGTGCTAGTGTCCTCGAGGACCTCTGCATCGAGACATTCAAGGTATGAGTGCTAGTGTCCTCGAGGATATATCAGATAGGGTGTCGCGAGGCGCTCTCTCTGAGAGCATCAATCGGGCTCTGCTGCGGGAGCCTTTGCGGCGGGAGCGACTTCGGCCAGTGTGCGACGTCGGCCGCTGCTGCTGGCATGTCGATGCCGGGAACGGCTGTCGCGGCGCCGACGGACGTGGTCGTGTTTCCACTTCCGCCCACGTGTAGTCTCAGTGGAACGGAGGAAGGTCCCAGATATGCTGGAGTAATCAAACTCAGTTGGCAGCTGAGTACTATTGCCACCGGCTTTGTCCCAAGGGTGACATCATTCGCCACCGCTGGACTCTTTCAGGTTCTCTCGTCTGTATCCTTACACCCTGCAGTATACAATCTCAAATCAAACTGCGGCGGATCAGTAGAGTCTGCCTGTCCTAGCTCTGCAATCGGACAGCTTCGGATCCAGATTTCCCATGCCGCGTGTTGCTCTCCGTAAAAGACTACAACGCTCAGCTTCGACCTTGCAACAAGAATTCGCAAGAAAAAAAACATAAATATCTAAACAGATTGAGGCAAGAGCTGCGACATATAAACTTGGTCAACTAAATCGTTCAGCTCGAACTAGACACGAACTTGCCTTGGGGTCACCGGTCCTGCGCAGGGCTCGCAAGGGCGAACACTTTGGCCAAAAAAAACCATGAAGTGTGTGTCCTGCTCCTGATAGCTTGCACACAGCTCAGCAGACAAACCAACGGGAGTGCAGCAAGATGTCTAAAATGCACAGTAACCCTCTTTCCAATGAGATGGACCTTGCAAAGGCTGAAGAGGCAGCACGTTGCCTGCCCAAGAGGGTCTTGCAAGGGCAAGAAAAGGAAGACAATCAATGTAGCACTCGCCGGTAGAGTTTGGACAAAATAACCATGGATATAGTTTACACACAGTATAGCAGCCACACGAGCGGCTACCAGCGCAAGGAGTCCCAAAATGCTCTCAACCCAGCCCACCAAGATAACCCAGCCCACCAAGATGGACCACGTAAAGGCTTGAGAAGCCCATCTAAGGCCAGCGGAAAAATCATAAGTGCCCTAGCTCCTTCGCTTTGCGGCAATGTAGTCGCTTACACACCTAGTCTCACACAGTAAGGTGGACTTGCAGCCATGGGTGCTGCAGCATTCTCCTTCATGGACACGCAGCTGGTCTTCTCCGTCTGGTGGCACCAGTGTGGCAGCTATTACACCACTGGCTCGTTGGTTTAAATGGACTCCATGGAGAAAAGCTGACTTATGGCTATGCATTCTCATGGTGCAGGGGCCACAGAAGACAGGAAGGGCGCAGCGCGTGTACGGAGTGTCTGGTGCGTGTTTGCCAGGCTTCTCGCACAGAGAGGCCGCGAAACAATGCGAGGCGGATCTGAATGACTTCGTTCGAGATCAAAGTCAATATGCTATTCAACGGGATGCTCTTTTTGTCGCGGCCGGCGACCTGAATTCTATCAGCAGCCACAACCTGGACGTGTAGTCGGCTGCGGAGGTGTTGGCGGCAACCAAGGAGATGCTGATGCAGGTGAAGAAGCTTGGACTGGCGGTCCAGAGGATCCATTCGGATCGCGGCCGGGAGTTCGTGAACAAAGGGTTCAGGTCGATGTGTCGAGACCGTGGCCTAGTTAGAACTAGTAGTCCCGATGACTACAAGGCCAATGGTTGCGGGAGGCCCTGATTGGCCGGGCTAAGTGCGCGGTTCGGACCTACCTCTCGGGCTCCGGCATGGACGCCATCATGTGGGCTTTTGCTATGCGGCACTATCTGGCGAAGATCCAGCAGGGCGTGGTCACCCAGCTTGGCCGCAGCCAGCAGGCGGCGATGGTGTCCATGTGATGGGAGGGCTTGTGGCATGGGCCAGATCTCTGAAGCAGTTGGCGCGGAGGTTACCTTGGGATCTAAGGAGAAAATCGAGGGCGTGATGAAGGTCCTGCACTCTGATTCTCAGTCAGCTCTGGCAGTTTGTCAGTGCGCAGCTGGGAGTTGGCGCACGCGCCACTTGCGCATTCGTGGAAGTATGATCAGAGAGCTGCTGGAGTACCCGGACTGGCTGGCTTTTTACTTGGATGGCAAGGTGATGCCAGCAGACTTGGGAACGAAAGCTTTAGCTGTGGATCGCTTCAATGTGCTTGTGGATCGAATGCGGGTTCAGCGGAAGCGGCACCATGGTGATTCGAAGGGGCTTGCTCCTGGACAAGTCAAGCAGCTGATGATGGTGCTGTGTTTGACCGCGATGGTGGAGCAAGGAAAGGCGGCCGAGCAGGAGCCGCGCGAGTCCTTTGACTATGTGTTCTTGGGCGTGTGCATCCTGGCGGTCATTGCGGTTTGGGAGTTTGTGAAGGGTGGCTGTGTGTGGGCGTGTCGACGATTTCTGGGCACCGGGAGCTCCCGGGCAGGGACCTACGCGAGTGATCGTCAGGCTCTTCTGGAACCCCCCAGCGACGGGAGGCAGGCTCTTCTGGAAACTCTGAAGACGAGCCAACCACGTCGAGGAGCCGAGCGTCGACTCTTCGACAGGGCCGATTCAGGCTCAGCTATCTGGAGAGAGGCGCAGCTATGCCGTCTTCGCGAAGAGTGGTGGATAACCATCGGGAGCTGCACAAGCCTTCTCGAGCTCTTGCTGATCGCGAATGGAAAGGACGAACGGAGTTGGTCCTGACCGCGGGCACCAGAGCTCGCTCTTCTCAGTAGTGCACTGAGAGCTGAGGGGATGTAAAGCCTTGACTCTTTTTGGATCCGTGAAAAGCGGAATGTACTGAGTTTTGGGACGTGGAGCGTCCCTCAAGCCTATCGACTAGTCAAGAAAGGCACAAACCCGATTTGGGCACCGCCCAAAGGGGGAGTGCGTTGTGCTTTGTACATGTGGCATGACACTTGAGATGTTCGAAGGCTTTTGATCGGTCAGGGAAAACTGCGCCCCGCTTTCAGGGTGTGGATTGCAGTCAGTCATCGGGGATCCAGAGGCGGCCAAGCCGTTGGCTAACTTTAGCATCTGAGAAGGAGTCCTTGGTTGTCACTTCAACGGGAGCACATCCGCAGGGCGAGAGAACTCCACGGCCTCTTGGAGCATATGCGCCCTGCCTGGGCTGTTAACAGCGACGCCTTCACCGCGCCGGAGCAAATTCTTCTCCAAGATCCGGAGTTCGTTGCTGGCTTGGCGCCAGGCCATGGGCGGCTGCCGTCCCAGATGGAAGAGCTACCGCAGCAGCAGGAGGAGGAGGAGGAGGAGCAGGTGGCTGCTGCAGCGGCTGCCTTTCCTGCCGGCGCTGCTATAGAAATGTGCCTGCAGCGTGGGAACCAGCGGCGCGAAGGGCACGAAGGCGCGCCAAGGCACGCGCGCACGAGAGGCGCGCGGAGGCGCACGGGAGGCGCGCGAAGGCGCGCGAGAGGCGCGAAGCGGCGCGAAGCGCGCGAAGCACGCAAAGGCGCGTGGAGGCGCGAAAGCGGCACGAAGCGTGCGAAGGCGCGCGGAGGCGCGCGAGAGGCGCGAAGCTGCACGAAGCTTGCGAAGTCGCGCGGCGCGCGAGCGCGCGAAGGCGCGTGGAGGCGCAAAGCATGCACGGCGCGAAGGCGCGCGAAGGCGCGCGGGCGCGCGAAGCAGCGCGAAGTGGCGCGAAGCAGCGCGAAGCGCGCGAAGCACGCGAAGGCGCGTGGAGGCGCGAAAGCACGGCGCGAAGCTCGCGAAGCGCGTAGGGCGCGCCCCAGGGGGACCATACTCGATCAAGAGGGAAGCTACATAGGCAGCCCCGGAACTTATGAGGGCCTTTTGAGAACTTAGGAAAACTTATGTTGTAAGTTTTTCTAAATGACTTATAAGTTATTTTAAATTATTCTAAGTTTCAGAGGCCTCCCGGAAGCGATTTTCTCAAGTCGCACGATTCTGGTCTCTGTACCGGCATTTTTTGCCGCGAACTCGCTTCCTAGTGCAAGGAAATAATTTGGCATGCCTCTTCGAGAGCCCAAGCTGGCCTCAATGCCAGTTGCAAGTCAGCAATCTTCACAGCACATTCTCTGCCAGGCTTGCTCCACGTGCTGTATACCTCTTTCCATTGCTTGCAGCACAGTTGGTGTGCAACGGCCTCAGCCCCATTGGGCGTCTCCACGAACCCTTTGACATGCACTGCAAAACGCTTGGAAAGGATATACAGTCCGGCTGGATAATTTATACCCCGGCACTGAGCATCTGCGTACAAGCGCTCGATTTTTTTCCCGGCCTGAGGCTTTGAAAGCACAGCATGCGGCGACCAGTTTACTGCCAACTTGAGCTCATGAGAGACAAGAGTGGCCATGGCTGTCATCTCAAAGTGCTTGAGGGCAGAGGCCCTGTGTCCAAGCTGTTGCTTGAAGTTTCTGTTTTTTCGTTCGCAAACGAAGGCGTCCAGGAATAGTTGCAAGGTGAGAGCTGGCTGCGATGTGTGGAAGCTGTAGTGATGCTTCGGCCTCACATTCCTTTCAGCGACCGCTCAGCTCGGCTGCCGGAAAGGACTTGGCGCAGGCGTGGCAGGTGCCGTGTCCGGGCTGCTGTGTCTAGCACTGAGCTCAAGCTCCGGAGCTTCGAGCTGGCTGGCCATTGCTGGCAGGGGGTGCTAAGGCCGGAAGTGAAGAGCTACAGACTTGGAGCCGCGGCAGCTACAGAAGCACCAGCGAAATCACGATGATACTCTGCTCTTCAGTTTAGTGAAATTAGAGACCTGAGTGCTGCAGTCTCCCTACAGCCCGTATCTCTGCAGCGACCTCTCACTGCGACTGTGAGGCTTCAAAACACAGGGCGGAGGCTTTAGGTGAAACTAAGGTGAACTAAGGTGGAGGCCTGGCCTCAAGCCTGGGCCACCTGAAAGCTAGGTGGTCCGATTCCTAAGACTGCCTGGATCTGGACAGTTAAGGTGGTTAGGTGGCTGCCCTTCCTAAGTCTGGCAGGTTAAGGTGGCTTTAGGTGGAAGCCCTGACGGTAGGCTTCTGGTATCGGGGATAGTTAAGGTGTTAAGGTGGTGAGTTGCCTTAGATCTCCCCTGGAGCCATGAGGCTTTAGGTGTTCTTAAGGTGGTTACTGTGCTGCAGACTGCCTGGAGAGGCTTTTTCGATCAGACTCTGAAGCCTGGGAAAGCAAAATTCCAGAGTCTGAAGACTACAGCAGCTCAGCCAGCAATCATGCTTTCTGCAAGGGATCCAGGCAGACAAACCACTACGGAGCCTATATACTGCAGAGGTCAAGCTCCTAGTCCAGGAGCTGCAAGCCATCCGCTCGCAAGCCCTCCAAACCCGGAGTTTCGTCGATGAGCTCCAACACTTTCCTCGCTATATATATATATATATATATATATATATATTATACGACAGAGGCCGCAGCCATCACGCCTTTCTCAGACTCAGGCCGCAGCTGCCAAGCCCAACACTATAGCCGGAGGCCGCAGCCATCACGACCCAGAACGGCGACAGCAGCCAGCGTGCCCTTCCCTGACTGTGGCCGGAGCCAAACAGCCAGATACATGAGACCGAGGCCGCAGCCATCACGACTCAGAGCGGCGACCGAAGCCACGAAGCCAGCCGCCCTTCCGTGACCGTGGCCGCAGCCATCAAGGCAGTTATATAGACGGAGGCCGCAGCCATCTCGCCCACATTCTCTCTCTCTCTCTCTCTCTCTCTCTCTCTCTCTCTTTTTCTCCTTCCCTTTACTGTCCCCGGCCTCCAAAAGGTCGGCCGGAACCGTCCCCCTTTCCGCTCCGACGAGCCAAAGCAGCTGGCACCAGACACTGCAGGCTTCAAAGGTTTAGGCGTTACAGGGTTTAGGGCGTAGGGCCTACGTAGGGTTTAGGGTTTATATATATATATACCCTGGGCGTCCGCCACCCCGTTAAACTGGTGGGTTGTGAACGCACCCGTTTAACTGGTGGGTTGGACGGCGCCACACCAGGCGTCATCGATGCAGAGGCTCAAGACACAAAACAGCTGACCGTGAAACTAGCGTGAAAAAAGCGTGAAACAACACCAGAAAACCGTGAAACACACCCAAATAACTGTGAAACCACCACCAATGACTGTGAAACTTTGTGCATAAGAAAGCAGTGTTATGATCCACTGAAACAATGTTAAATTCAGTGTTTGAGGTGTGTTCAGTGTTTTGCGTGGTTTACTTGAACGCACCCGTTTAACCGGTGGGTTGGACTTGCAGGGTATACATAACACAACCGACAGCTGTTTTTCACGGAGACTCCCGAAGTTGGGCAGGTTGCACACTTGCCGAAGGAACCTTTGTGCAGCTTCAAGCTGCGTGCAAACGGCGGCCATGCCGTCGACCCTGCCGACCCTCCTTGAGCCAAAATGCTACGATTTCCCGGATGTTGACACCAAAAGTATGGTTTCTACACGAAGCCGCTAAGTCATCCTAAGTTTTTCTAAATTGTTTATTGGAACAACTAAAAGAACTTATAAGTCTCCTGTAAGTCGTTTATAATAACTTAGAAACCAGAAGTTTATAACAATTTATAATATGTTTAACAGAACTTATCCCCGACTTAAACTAACTTCAACTAATTTCAAGTCACTTTAAGTCCCTCATAAATTCCGGGGCTGCCAATGTAAGGCTCGCCAAATGTTGTGGCTCCATGCTGATGCATGGATCAAGCATATAGGTGATGAAGCAGAAATCTCTGAGATTTGATTTTTGCTCTTCATGGCACTCGTATCGCAAATGAAAACGTTGCAGGAGGCTACCTCACCACGAATACTGAGCTCAAGTTCTGACTGACTTAGGGGTGAGGCAATCTGGCAGGAAATACCAAAGTAACCTTCAAGCCTCCTTCAGGCGTCGGTGCCGTGCTGACAGTGACCTGAGAAGTTGTCATGGCAGAATTAGGTGACGTTGGTCCAGCCAAGGCCACCAGCACCAGCGCCAGCACCAGCCCCAACCCCAGCCCCAACCCCAGCGCAACAGCACCAGCACAAGCACCAGCACCAGCACCAGCACCAGCACCAGCAGCACCAGCACCAGCACCAGCGCCAGCGCCAGCGCCAGCACCAGCAGCAGCACCAGCACCAGCACCAGCAGCAGCACCAGCACCAGCAGCAGCACCAGCAGCAGCAGCAGCAGCAGCAGCAGCAGCAGCAGCAGCACCAGCAGCAGCAGCACCAGCAGCAGCAGCAGCAGCAGCAGCAGCAGTGCCAGCAGCAGCACCAGCAGCAGCACCAGCAGCAGCAGCAGCAGCAGCATCAGCAGCAGCAGCAGCAGCACCGCCAGCACCACCAGCACCACCACCAGCCACCAGCACCACCACCAGCGCCACCAGCACCGCCAGCACCACCAGCACCACCAGCACCACCAGCACCAGCAGCACCACCAGCACCACCAGCACCACCAGCACCACCAGCACCACCAGCACCACCAGCACCACCAGCACCACCAGCACCACCAGCACCACCAGCACCACCAGCACCACCAGCGCCAGCGCCAGCACCAGCACCAGCACCAGCGCCAGCACCAGCACCAGCGCCACAGCACCACAGCGCCACAGCACCACAGCACCACAGCACCACAGCACCACAGCACCACAGCACCACAGCACCACAGCACCACAGCACCACAGCACCACAGCACCACAGCACCACAGAACCACAGCACCACAGCACCACAGCACCGCAGCGCCACAGCACCACAGCACCACAGCACCACAGCACCACAGCACCACAGCACCACAGCACCACAGCACCAGCACCAGCACCACCAGCACCAGCACCAGCACCACCAGCAGCAGCAGCAGCAGCAGCAGCAGCACCACCACCAGCAGCACCACCAGCAGCACCACCAGCACCACCACCAGCACCACCACCAGCAGCACCAGCAGCACCAGCAGCACCAGCAGCACCACCAGCACCAGCACCAGCACCAGCGCCAGCACCAGCACGGATAACCTCAACTTGTTGACGGTCCTGTCTTGTTTCGGCTTACCTCCTTGAACCCCCCTCTTTGTATGTGTGTGTGTGTGTGAGTGAGTGCTTGAGTGTCTGTATGCTTGGACTCGCTGCGTCGACAGTGACAAAACAAAACATCCATCACGAAATATCTCTCTAATTGTAGCTGCGACTGACGAAGGAATTTATGTTTTACGATTTTCACGGTTTTCGATTTTATGTTTTTCACGTTTGCTTTTCACACATGCTCTCGAAAGCAGAAGAATATGTGACACATGTGTAGCATTGCGCTCAAGTGGGAGCACGGAGTTTAGTTTCACGGGAGTAGCGGGTGGCTGGGCTTAGTACCGAGTACCTACGGGGAAAGGGAAACGCTCGGCCTTTCTCTCGTGTTGTCAGCTCAGACCGTCAGCATGGACCACAGTGCTTCCTCCGGCAGCAGCTCTCCCACGGTAGAGCTCATGGAAACTCTGGTTCAGCGAGTCTCCCAACTTGAAAGTCAGGTCCGTGACAACTGGCAGCCTGCTGTCACTGCGGATGATCTTCATGCTTTGCAGATCTCTCTCTCGAAGAAGTGTCATGACATGGCTGAAGATGTGACGGCATTCGCTTTCCAAGTGCAGTGCCTGAGCGAGACGGTCCAGGACCTCAAGGATCAAGTTGCCTTACTTCGTGCGCGCAGTGACGATGACATGCAGGCTCTTCGAGCTCAAGTGATGGCGCTACGTGCTGAGCTTCGGTCTCGCTAAGGTCGCGTCCTTTTGTCATGACCACTTCACTTGAGCCGTTTGCGTAGCGCTTTGCTTCAGTGTGGAGTCCTGGAAGGTTGTTCACGCTCAGTTTTGACATAGTTATGCTAGTCTCCGGGACGGTTGCTGGAACGCTGTACATGAGCGCTTCCTCTTGCGCCATCCCCTACAGGATTCTTTCGTGGCTTGAGTGAAAAAGTCTCCGCTGGAGAAGCCGCGACGTGCTGCAAGCGTTGCATAGGCTGTGGCATGTCGGCCTTCGTGCTCATGCTTATGCTTGTGTGTGCGCTCAGCTTCGCAGTGGTTGTGACCTTAGTGTCGCCGTTTTTGAAGCTCAGGCCGCCGGGGGAGGGGCCAACTGCTAGGTCCCAGGAGTTCTTTCTCTCTTGAATAATGGAGTCCTTGTCGGCCCAGCGGCAGTTCTTGCGGGACTTGGATGAGCTGTTGCAAGCCAGTCGCCGTGACGAGCAGGCACGGGGAGTCACGACTCCTTTTCGTCGTGTTCCCAGGCACTTGCGCGAAAGGTCAAGGTCTCGCTCCGACGACTCTAGAGACCGTCGGCAGCCAGCTTCAGATGTCACTTTGGCTTCCCTGCATCGTGATCAATTCTTCTTGAGTGCAGAGTGTGAGAGCCTTCGCCATTTGGTGGACAATCTGGCCTTGGGCCAGACGCATTTGATGAATGTCATGTTCCTCGAGCCGGACTCTTCAGCACCATTCTCAGCCTTGGCTCAGTTCGTTTTGGACACACGTGCTCAGCTGCGTGCTTTGAGTGCACGCGTGGAGGAGGTCACTCGCATATGTGCAGAGAATGCTATGAGCACTTCCATGCGTCTTGACCGTTTGGAGGCCTCCATGTCGGGGCCCCCCTAGTACAGGGCTCAATTTGCGTGGCTGTGGCCACAAGTTCTTCAGCCTTGCTTCCAGAACATATGCTTTTTGCGACTTAACATGCAAGTACCCGAAAACACTTCTGGCGGCTCGTCGCTTTGTGCCATTGCTGTTGCACTGCAGGCGCCAGCTCAGTACACTTGTGGTTTCAGCCGCGTCGTGCCTGGGCCTGTCAGGTCTCGCGAAGGCTATAGCCGTTTTGCAAGGTTGTAGACTTCCATAGAGTGCCGGGGGCACTCTGCAATCGCGCTCCGCAAGGTGCGCCTGCCCGTGCACTCCTCGTGTGTTGTGGCAGTTCATGTCTTTGCATTTTCCCGAAAAGTGGGGGTTAAGTTTCTGGGCATAGAGTAATGGAGTTGCTGCATGCCGAGCAGCATCAGAAGAAGAGACCCAAGCATGCTTGGGAGCAGGAGCCTCGGGGCATTGCTACTTTTGCATCAGTCTCGATGGGGGCTTCCTTCAAGTTGGGCCGCTCTGAGCACATGCTTTGGGAGCTCAGAGCTCAGCAAGGATCGAAGCAGGCGGACATCGTCGAGAATGTGAAACTGCCTGTGCTTCCTTATGCGGCTAGGAGGGCAAAGATGATGGACTGGCCTGAGATAGCGGATGACATGAAGAGGAAGTCGTTGCATCTCGTAGGTCCGACTTCCATGCCACGAAGCTTGGGACCATGCTTTACGAGCTGAGTGGGAGCCTTGACAAGGAGCCCCAGATCCAGAGGACCATTGAGCTCACCTTTGCCAAGAGGACTCTGGCGTTTTGGAAGATGTTCGTGTTCCACGTGGATCGGGGACATAAGTCTGGGCTTCATATGAGCGAATCCAGCCTCTTTCTGTACTTCGAATCGCTGCAGGGTGGGGCCGCTACCGCCCCGCAAAGTGCCCTTGAATCAATATTCTTCATGCACACCCTCCTGGGCATTAGAGCACCGATTGAGGACCTGGTGTCGCATCGCATCAGGGGCCTGGTCCACGAGGCAGCCATAACGAAGAGACCCTTGAAGCAAGCGAGGGGGCTCACAGTGGAGGAAGTGCGGTTTCTTGAGAGGCTCGTGACAAGAAGTCCAGACACGGCCGTTGTGTGCATTGCAGGGTTCTTCCTTTACGCCCTCACAAACAGCGCGCGGTGGGGTGATGCCCAGGCATCTACTCTGCCGACCTTGGATGCCTCGGGATCGCGACCAATCTTGAGCTCTGGTACGCTTCGGCACAAGTTGGCGAGCACGGCCGAGCGGAAAACCACTCTGCTGCCCTTCGTGGGATTTGGTCAGCTGGTGACTAGCACGGCTTGGGCGCCGAAGTGGCTTGACGCCATGAAGAGGGCACGCCTTCCCAGGACTGGCGTGGACTACCTGATGCCTTCTTGGAATGAGTCTTCGAGCCAGTTCATCCGGAGGCGAATGACGAGTGGCGAGGCCACTCTTCACTTGCGTGAGATCCTCAGTCAGATGGAACAACCCCTATTGCAACCTCTGCCATCTTCGCATAGCCTGAAGGTTACGCTGCTCGCTTGGATTTGTTAGTCGTTAGTCAGGACTATTTTCCTTGTCTGAGAGACAGATCATTGGGCATCATCTTGATCGGCCGAGCACTAGTGCACTCACCTACGGGAGGGCCAATTTCGTGGGCCCCTTGGGAAAAGTGGCAGGCATGCTCGCTCGGATCCAGGACGGCTCCTTTAGGCCGGATGCTTCGGCGGCAGATCTTGTCGCGCAGCAGCTTCATCAGGAGGAAGCAGCGTCTGATGAGCTGGAGCGGAAATTGCATGGTGATCCTTGCGATTGCGAGGACAGTGCGTCAGATGACATGGGGCATGATGATGCTGATCAGGCGGTCGCTGCAGCGGTGCCGGCGGCCGAACGCCGCATGGTGGAGGCTCCGGATCCGGACCGGTACCTGGTTCACCTGTCGTCGGGCACACTTCATGCATTAGATCCGGATTCTGATAGATTCCGGTGTGGGAGGCCAAGAACACCGAATTATGTCAGGCCGAAAGTTTCCACTTCAAGTCCGTACCCCTTCTGCCTGGTGTGCCAGCGGGCGCAGGATGCAGGGGGTGAGGCGGCAGCTGCGAGCTGAGTGCCCTTGTGCCTGGGAGCTGATGCAGAGATGGCCTTGCAAGTGAAACTTGTAATGCCTCCATGTCGGGCCGTCGAGCCTGGCAGGGTTTTGTCTGCATCCTCCGTAGTGTGGGAGCCCCACATAGCTGACCGAAGTGTGACCCAGCAGCGAAGCCCGGGCTTGCCCGAAGATAAGCTGCTGGGAGCTGCGCCGTCGTGCTGACCAAAACACCTTCGGAGCTGGGCTTATATCTGGCAGCGAAGCCCGGAAAGAATCTGAAGATGAGCTGCTGGAATTTTTGGGCCGTCGTGCCATGGACGCCCTCTCCTGACGTCGTGCCTGCACGGAACTGGCCAGCGGATCAGATTGCGCTCATGTCCAGGTCCCATGTCCGTGGACTCGCAGGCCGCTTTCAGGGCGGAGGCGATTCGCCTGGGTGTGTCTGAGGCACACGCTGACTTGCTGATCACGAAGGGCATCCGTACGCACTCGCTGTTCGCCTTCATCTCCAGCTACCAGCCGGGTGCCAGTGATGAGAAGCCGTTCGTGGATGCCCTGGTTGCCAAGCTTGGTGAGGAGGCTAAGGATTCGTTACCAGCCTTTCGGCACCTGTTCTACACCAGTCACACGCTTGCGGTCCAGGAGCTCAAGGACAAGCTTGAACCTCGTGAAGAGGCCAAGCGCCTTTCTATGGCAGACAGGGTCGACCGCCTGGAGCGGCTCAAGAAGTCGCTGGTGGGGGTCACTATTGACACGTGGTTGGAGCCCAGCCACTCCTTGGTGGACAAGGCCGTCGGCTTTGCGGAGGATGGTTGTCTCGGACCCTTGGAGCTTTCCCGGTGCACGTCACGGGAGGCGGAAATGAGGTCAGAAAAACGTGATCCGGAAACCTTCCGCTTGGAGAAGCGGAATATCACAAGGTTACGAAGCCCCCGACGACCTTGACGGCTGATACTTCCAGTGACCTACATGTTCGAACTTGTATGCAGCGTCGTGCTCTGGCTTTCCACATGGCGGGCATTGCTACGTTCGTGGTGCTTGATAAGATCATTTCTCGCTTCTTCGGCTGCATGATGCGCCCAGTGTACCCGGGGCAGCAACCGGTGACCTTGAGCCAGGTCGTGGACGCCGACAGAACGCTTTGGGTTCTGGTTGCGCAAGAGACTCGGGGCAAGGTACTGACATCCGGGACTCCTTTGCCGATTGATGCCGCCGTGGACGCTTTCAAGGACGCGCCGGACGTTGCTTTTGCTTTGATGCCTCGCGCAAAGGGGTCGGTGCCTCCGCCTCCGAAGCCGTCTCCGACTGCTGGAGCCGAGGCGATGAGTCGCGCTAAGCGCCGCAGGATTCAGAAGGCGGCCAAATCCAAGCAGATTGCAGATTCGGCACAGCCCAGCAAGCCTCCAGCAGCAACCCCGAAGGGCAGCGGCAAGGGCAATGACATACCACCGGGGGCAAAGACTCGCGATGACCAGGGCAGGCCAGTTTGCTTCCGCTACAACCGGAGGGCATGCGACCAATCCAAGGAGAAGTGCCAGCGCGGTTATCACGTGTGTTGGTTCTGCTTGAGGCTTGAAGAACCACGCCGGGGCAGACCACAAGGAGTGACTAGGGCAGCAAACCGTGCCTGGCCCCTCCGGCACCCAGGCCACAGCTTTTAGACCGGGACAATTCTCCGCAGTGGGCCATTCTCCAACTGACCTTCACTGCGCCGAAGCTCTTGCAAGTTCTTTCAGCTCTCCGCCTACGGCGAAGCAGCTCCTTTCACTTTTGGATGTGTTGCCACCCGAAGTGCCTGCCCGCGGACAGCCGGGGGATTTCTCATGGACCACGGGAGCGTGGTCGAAGGACGGAGGCTATGGCCTCCGCCGTCACAGCCATATGTTCCCGACGGTTACATCCGCCTTGACGGCGTATGTCCGAAGCATTGCCCCCGAACATGCTTTTACAGCGGTGGCTCTCTTTGCAGATCTTCAAACAGCGCCCCATCGCGATGTGAACAATGCCGTGGATGCTCCTAACCTCTTGTTGCCGCTCACTGAGTTCCAAGAGGGCCAGATCTGGCAATACAACGAGGCGGGGCCTTCTTGGCAATGGGTCGAAGGTCGTCATCTTCCTGGCTTGCACTTGGATGTTTCCAAAGGCCCTTGCTATCTGGATTCCCAGGCCTTGCACTTCACACTCCCATGGCGAAGCAAAAGAGTTCTTGTGGTGGCTTTCACGCCTCGCTACAATGAGCAACCCTTCGACTTTGCGCAGCTTGTGGCACTTGGCTTCAACGTGGGGCGGGAGTGCCCGTCGCCACCTCAACCTTTGCGGCAACATGTCGAGCTCTTGGGCTTCCGGGTCCTTTTGCCACCATGTGACCTACAAGCAGTCAGCTTTTCCTGCGAAGCTTCCGAGGCCTTGGCGGTGGAGGCCTTCTGTGGTCGTGGACGCTTGTCGGTGGCACTTCGGGATCAAGGCTTGAGTGTTCTTCCAGTTGATCACCGTGTTCGTTGCACTGATCTACAAGTTCTTCGCCTTGACCTTCAGGATGATCAGGACGCGTCCATCTTCCTTGAAATGCTCTCCACGGCCAATGTTTGCTTGGCTCATTTCGGGCCGCCTTGCGGAACCTCGAGCAAGGCCCGCGAGCTGCCTTTGCCTCCGGAGCTCGCTCACCTACAAGCTTCTCCGCTGCGATCATCTGCATCTCCCTTTGGTCTGGACGGACTTCGGCCGTCGCAAGCAGCTCGCGTCCATTCGGCCAATAAGCTCTATGTTCTTACATTGGTCTCGATCTGGATTCTGCATGTGCGTGGCGCGCTTGTCAGCTGTGAGAATCCTTCTTCTTCATTGTTTTGGAGGTTGGCCGATCTTCTTGCGCAAGACCTCCCAGATCCAGCAGCCTGGCAGGTCTTGGAAGACGTCACGTTCCATGCTTGCATGTGGGGCTCTAGTCGCAATAAGCGCTCCACCTTTCGCGCAACCCCGGGCCTGTGCAGCGGCCTGCGGCGCGATTGTGATGGCTCACATGAACACTTGTCGTGGACGCCGACTGCGACCCCTTCCGGTGTTGTGTTCCCTACAGCAGGCGAGGCCGAGTACACCAAAGAACTGGCGGCCGCTTATGCCGCCTTTTCTCTTCGTGCTCTTCAACTGCGTGGACTCCGCACGGAACGCTCTCATATGGCTTCTGGGGTTCTTCGGCCTCGAGATCTACGTTCTTTTACTCGCAAGCGGGTGCCACCGCTTCTTGCGGAGTATTGGTTTGTGGCTCCTGGAGACTGTGTACCACCCGAGTGGCCTCAACGGCCCCTCCCTAAGCATGTCCTGTTCCCGAAAACGGGGGATGAGGTCATCATGGTATCTTCGGTTGCAGAGGTTCGGGCGTTGGAAGCGACTAATGCTTGCAAACCGTCAACATTGGTGGCTCTTAAGGCAGTGGGAGCAACTGGTGCTGAACCAATGGTTGGAGTACTTCGACGACCCCAACAAACCATGCTGGCTACCAGGTGCTTGGCCCATCCACTTGAACTGAATCTTCCGTTGCCAGACATCCTTGTGAAGGCCGTCGTGAACGTCCTTAGAGTGGGACCTCGGGGCATTGCCTTTCATCGTGCTACGGTCTTGCAGAAGTTGCTGGGCAGGGCGGAGGCGCTCAAAGATCGTGAACGCGAGCTTCATAGTGGCCTGCATCCGGATCTTCGTAAAGTTCTTGCGGGGAAAAACACAATATTGTGGGAGCAGCTTCTTAAAGAGACTCAATTCCCTGACCCGGGCCTCATCGACGAGGTGAGGGGAGGCTTTGAACTTGTGGGTCCGGCGAACTGCTCGGGGGCCTTCCCGATGGCTTACAAGCCGCCGCAGCAGTCGGTGGAAAAGCTCATGCAGCAAGCGGTGTGGCGAAGGAAGAACACCATCTCCAAGTGCAAGCCGACTGGCGATGGGGTTGCGGACGCAGAGTTGTGGTCGCAGACGCTTGGCGAAGTCGAGCAGGGCTGGATCGATGGACCCTATTGGGATGAGAGTGAAGTCAGTGAGAGGCTCGGCAGCGCCGAGTGGATGTGCACCAGGAGATTCCCCATCGTCCAGGGGCCGAAGGTTCGCATTATAGATGACTGCCTTCAGAGCGGTCTGAACTCTGCCTATGCGGCGTACAACAAGCTCAGGTTGATGGACGCTGATGCCTTTATCTCCGTGGTTCTCTTGCTTATCCGATGCTCGCATCAGCCCGGCAGCATGATTCAGCTCGATTCGGGGGAACAACTCGTCGTGAAGAGACACCCCGATTGGGGCGATGGACTGGATCTCCTCGGCAAGACTTTGGATCTTTCTGCAGCTTACAAACAACTGGGCTGCAGGCCCGATACGAAGTTCAATAGAGTGTTAGTCGCTTGGAGTCCCGAACGCCGCGCGCCGGCATTCTTTGTGTCCACTGCTTTGATGTTTGGAGCGACATCGGCAGTCTTCTCCTTTAACCGCTGTTCGGCATCCCTGTGGCATCTGGCAGTGACGATGGGTTCAGTTTGCTGCACTGTGTACTTCGATGACTTTCCTTGTGCGGAACCATCGGCCTCGTCGGGATCGGCTCAGGACTTCATGGTGGGGCTTCTGTCCACTTGCCTGGGTTGGAATGTTGCTCTGCAACCAAAGAAGAATCAGCCGTTCTCCCAGACCTTCACTCTGCTTGGGATCGAGCTTTCGCTTAAAACGGCGGACCAGGGCATCCTGAAGGTGCGCAACAAGCCGGACCGTGTTGTGGAACTACGTGCTGAGCTTGACCGGCTTTTGTCGCAGGGCTACATGAAGAGGTCTGAGGCATCATCCTTGCATGGGCGCTTGAACTTCGCTCAAGGCCAGCTTCACGGTTGTCCCATTAAGCCAGCGCTTAAGTTCTTGTCACAGGTGGCGGCCAACGGCTGGGACGATGCTATGGCCGACGATTTCAAACTTGTGATTGGCTACATCGCAGCTTGCTTCGCCACGGACTCTCCGAGGGTGATACATGCTCTTGACCCGCGGTATGCCATCAAGCTCTTTACCGATGGTGCATGGGACAACAGAATCGCAGGTGCGGGGGCGGTGCTCCAGTATTCTCTGGACCATGGACCCAAGGTGGCGGAGGTGGTTGTTCCAGAATGCCTCATCGAGCACTGGGGCAGGCATGGTGGCACTCAGCTCATCTCGCAGCTGGAGCTCTTCCCAGTGCTGGTGTCTCTGATCAGCTGGGGCCCCGAATTGGCGGGCAGGCGCACCCTTGTCTTTATCGACAATAACGGTGTGCGCGATTCCTTGATCAAAGGCTCCTCTCCGCTGCCTGACCACTTCATTATGCTTTCGATGATTGCCTGGGTGGCTCGGCGGTTCCACTTCACGCTGTGGTTCACTCGTGTGGCTTCGGAATCGAATCCCGCAGACAAGCCGTCAAGATCGCAAGCGCGGGAGGCTGCTGAGGAGCTCGGTGGATCCCTTGAGCTTCCCTTGACCTTGGACGGCGCCTTCGTGAACGGGCTGCTTAGCAAGCGGTCCTTCATGGATATGTGCCAAGGTGCGATGCCGTTTGGTGATGGGGAAAATGTGGGAGAGAGACTTTGGCAGTGATCGGGAAGCCTTCGTGCGGCCATCATTGTACCGCCTTCGTGCGGGGTGTATGCATTCAATGCTCTTGGTCTCTTGAGTTCCCGTCGCGTGGCATCCGAAGTTGGGCAGCAGCATCCCCTTTTGCGTTCAAAATGAAGACGGTCCGAGTGGTTGCTTCAATTTGATATGTTTGACAAATATTCGATGTCCCACATATCAATTGGGGAATATGGCTGGATTGCGAAGAGTGAAGTGGGTCACGACCTTTGCGATACATCTATGTTGTATGTGAGTGCATGTTGTATGTGGTGATGGAGTTGTGGGTTCAAGAGTAAACCAACAAGACGGATAACCTCAACTTGTTGACGGTCCTGTCTTGTTTCGGCTTACCTCCTTGAACCCCCCTCTTTGTATGTGTTCTGTATGCTTGGACTCGCTGCGTCGACAGTGACAAAACAAAACATCCATCACGAAATATCTCTCTAATTGTAGTTGCGACTGACGAAGGAATTTATGTTTTACGATTTTCATGGTTTTCGATTTTATGTTTTTCATGTTTGCTTTTCACACATGCTCTCGAAAGCAGAAGAATATGTGACACATGTGTAGCATTGCGCTCAAGTGGGAGCACGGAGTTTAGTTTCACCCGCCCGCCCTCCCGGGAGAGAGACTTTGGCAGTGATCGGGAAGCCTTCGTGCGGCCATCATTGTACCGCCTTCGTGCGGGGTGTATGCATTCAATGCTCTTGGTCTCTTGAGTTCCCGTCGCGTGGCATCCGAAGTTGGGCAGCAGCATCATCCCCTTTTGCATTCAAAATGAAGACGGTCCGAGTGGTTGCTTCAGTTTGATATGTTTGACAAATATTCGATGTCCCACATATCAATTGGGGAATATGGCTGGATTGACGCAACTCCGCGAACAGCGGATGAAGCTTTATTTTCCCCTGTGTCAAAAATTTTGGTTTGTCAAACAAACTCAAAATTTAGGGCGTGATCTTTTGTTGAAGTTCTCTTAACCCATGACATGACAGTTCATGTTTGAGGAATCTCCATGAATCTTTACCATGCCGTCAGTTGGCTCCACAGGGTAAGAAAAAAATAAGAAAAAATTTCCGGCATAAGTCCGGAAAAAAGTTTTGTGTCGAACGGGGACCCCGAGGCGTAACAGGTTCGACTTTCAACCTGGCCCTTTTCGACGTTGCCTCTAGGGCTCCGTGCACGCCTCCTTAGGAGGCAGATGGAAGCAGCTCCTGACTTCTCTCCTGTGGCTTCAGAGCTACGGGGGCAGGGTCAGGAAGCCCCAGGTGTTGAAGAGTCTGATGCGTGCACCGGCAAGCCGCTGCCTGCTGAAAGTGAGTTGGGGTTTGATAAGCATCTTGAGCGTCTTTGCGAGGAGCTTGAGGAGGCAGGGACAGGGCGGCCTTTGCCTTCACATCTTGATGCTTTCGTGCCATCAGAAATAGATAGTGAGCAGCGAGAAGCTTGTGTGCGCGATCGAGAGTCTGCAAGGGAAGTGGTCAATTGTGCTGACAGCAGCTTGCTTAACGATGCTTTGGGGGATTCCGTGCTTGCTCTGGGAAGGAGTGTAGTAGACATTCCTTTGCCTTGGGAGCAGGAGAGCATGAGTTTGGTCTTTGGAGAAGATGATTCAGTAACAAAGCTTTTGGCAGGTCTCCCGAAGCACATACCAGTGCCTGCTGTGTCCAGCTCCAGTATCCAGCCTTCAGACCTTGTTGCCGAGCCACCGGCAAAGCGTGCGCGACAGATGCCTGAGAGTGGGGAGTGTTTCAGGGTTGCTATTTCTTCAAGGGCCTACGACAGTTACGAGGAAAAGGAGGAGGCTCAATGGCGACGTGCTCTTGAGAAGTGGCTGGTCATTCTTACTGAGTGCCCTGGTTCGTCATATATCGGAGAAACGGTTGCCATCCAAAAAACTGATGACGCAATTGAAACTTTGCGTGAACTCTTTGGGCGAAAGAGTGGCAGTACAGTCATGAAAAGGGGATCGGCCCTCATGGGATACCTCTCATGGGGGCGAAAGGAATGCAGGGGCAGTGACCTTTTCCCTTTCAAGTCCTCGCATCTGGATGGATACTTGAAGCAGCTGAAGAGAGAGAAGCGGCCAGCCGGGGCTTTCACCAGTTTCCAGGAGTGTGTGAATTTTGCAATACATGTGGTCGGCATTGCTGTCGATGAGTCCGTCATAGGACCAAAGCAAAGCGCTGTGTGGAGCCATTGGAGTAAAGGTCTTATTGGTCAGGCACAGTTGACCAAGGCAGAGCGGAAGCAGGCCACAGTCCTGCTTGTGGCATATGTTGCAGCCCTGGAACGTTTGCTTGAAGATGAATCGGTCAATAGCTTTGATCGTTATGCCTGCGGTGCCATCTTGTTTGGGATCTTTTCCAGGAGCCGAGTTTCGGATTTGCGAAAGACTTTCGGTTGGTTCCTTGACTTCAGTGAACTTGTAAGCGGAGGCGAAGGTTTCATTGAGTGCAAGACCCGAGATCACAAGACGGCCAATGCTGTGGCGCATACAGGCTTCAGCATGCCTTTGGTGGCGCCCGCGCGGGGTGTTACATCTTCGGCTTGGGCTGTGACATGGGCCAAGGTTGCAGATGAGGTAGGTTTGGGTTTTAGTTCCACCCGAGTAGGACCCGTGCTACCTGCGCCTGATCAGAAGGGGGGCTGGACTCGACGATGCGTCGATTCAGGAGAGGTCACCAAGTGGATGCGTGCGTTACTTGACAAGGCCGGGTGTGATGTGCCTGAGTCGTCGACTTCGCATGCCATCAAGGGGACTTCTTTGAGCTGGTGCTCTAAGTTTGGAATGGATAAGCATACCCGCCTGCGATTAGGACACCACAGCAGTGGCGACGGATCCTTGGATGCTTATGGGCGCGACAACCTTGCGCCAGCCCTCTTGAAATACACCGAAATGTTAGGAAGCATCAGGCGAGGTGTGTTCATGCCTGACTTGAGCAGATCGGGACGGTTCGCCGATCGTCCGATTGTTAAAGTCGAAGTATCAGAAGATGAAACTGCATCACCGATCGTGCCTGTGAGTGCGGCTTCTGATGAGGAGAGATCTTTAGGCAGGACCACTGAGTCGTTCGAGAAGGTCGATGCTGTTGCCAATCCTTCAGGGGTCTCTGCAGCTTGCGGAGAACAGGACTGCGAGAGTGAATCGAGCGACAGCTCCAGTGAGTCGGAGCCTGAGTCCGGAGATGAATGGGTCAAGGGCGAGGACTTCCGACATCCAGCGAGCAAGCCTAGCACCTGGAGGCCTGAGGCCACCATGTACAAACATTCTAGGACTGGTGTTGTGCATCTCATGAGTGCTGGGAGTTCAGATGGGCTTTTTGTTTGTGGGAGGGCCCTCACCAATGATCATGTAGAAGTCAGTGGTGTGCCTTTCCTTGAGTTGCGGAAGTGCAAGCAGTGCGATTCGGGTCGTCCTGTTAGAGATGTTGGCAGCTTGAATGTCGCGCTGCAGCAGATCATGAACTGTAGAGAGAAGTGATCGAGTTTGTCCACGTGGGGCAAAAGAAAGCGAAGTGCGCTTGAAGAGCAGATGAAGTTCATCTGGCAGTCAAGTCCGGTTGCGAGTGCAAGTTTCTGAGGAGCTATGTTATGCTCGAAGTTTTGCTCAAGTGGAGACCATTGGTGAACAGGCATGAGTGTGCTTTTCGAATGAGTAGAGACATGACGGAGACACATGTTAGGAGCGAGTTGAGAACTGACATGTGACTTCATGTTTTGACATAACTTGTGCTCGGTAGTCTGTGCTGGTGACTTGGTGAGGGATCATGGGCTCGTTAACGGAATCTACAGCGGCCTTCGCATCAAGGGCTAAAGAGATTGGCTTGACTCAAGCCAATGTGGCCACGATGACGGGGACCGGAGTGGATACGCTTTCCAAATTAGCTTTTGCAACAGTTCCGCCGGGCCAGTCACCGAGCGACGATCAGGTACAGCGGCTCTTCGGGGCAACGCCCATCACGGCAGGGACGATGGCTGCAGCAAAGCGCTCGATCTTTGAGGCCCATACCCTCGTAGTCCAAGAGTTAAAAACTCGGGTTCAGAGGGGGGATTCTGGGGCACCTTCGACGCTTGCCACAGCAGAGAGGGAAGAGCGCATCACAGAGCAGCGTGCAAGGATCACAGGCCTTTTGCATCGTGGAGTCGAAGAGCCTAGCCATGCCTCTTACGACTTGGTGTACGCCATGTTGTCCGCGGATTCCTTGACGTACTTAGGGCCAGACAGGTTTCCGACCCGACAGTCCGAACTTCAGGGTAAGAAGCCCGGGAAGGAGCTCACCATCGACGGGAACAGTGTGACGGTGAGAGACAAGGTGCCTCATCAAACCTGCACGACAGGGACCGAGCTTGAGCTTACGCAGGCTCTGAGGCGGCGAGCCTTAGCATTTGATTTAGTCAAGTGCGCCAGTTATGACACCATGAATCGGTATCACTCGTCGTTGATCCATCGACTGCAGGAGTTGCCACCGCCTACTTACGTAAAGATTTCGGTGGCACAAGTGCTTAGGGCAGACAGGGCAGCTTTCACTCGCATTGCCGAAAGCCTACCCTCGATCAAGCGTCAGCCTGATGGGGCTTTGCCTCTGGATCGAGCCCTTGAGAACATTCTTCAGGATCCCAGCATCAGCTTCCACTTGTTGCCGTTGAAAGGTGGAGAAACCGATGATAACAAGCGGAAGTGGACAGATGATGCCAAAAAGACCGATGATTCGACCAAGTGGAAAAAGAATGGCAAGGGCAAAGGAAAGGGCAAAGGCAAGGATCAGCCAGGAGTCAAAGGAGCCAAATTCATCAAAATGCCGAAGCAGCTGGTCGGCAAAGCCAGCGAGACCAACGAAGGGAAGAGGCTGTGTTGGGCATACAACATTGATGGGTGTCCCAATGCCGCTGACGGCGAGGAGTGTCCTCGCGGCTGGCACTTGTGTTGCGAGCCAAATTGCTTCAAGGCGCATCCGTTGCCCAAGCACCGGAAGTGACAGCCA